GAGAGGGTTGCAGTCACAGACTTCTTCAGAACCTACAGTGCTACCTTCTCAGCCCTCTAAAAATGATGCCAATGCTGCTGCTGTTCCACACACAACAAACACATCTGCTTCCATTCCAGAATCCACCACCCCTCAACCTCATAATTCACCCAACCAAGGTTAACTTCTCAATGCCCTTGCATTCTTTTTTCCCTTTTTTTTCAAAATTCTATTACATATCAATTTATATCTTGTTGCTTGCAAACCTAACCGTAATGGTCTTCTGCGTATGCTAACGTTTTTCTTCAGCAGAACTCACTATCCACTTTCTGTCAAGACTAATTATTTATTGTTATTTATTCATCCTAATACAGGTGACCTTCATCTTTATCCTGTCTCTGTGAAAACACAGAGCAGTGAGAAGGTTGAACTACAAGTAAGTCACTTGATCACAAAACTCTTCCCCCCATCCCATGTCTTTGAATTCAACTGCTAATTGTTTTGCATTTGCAGTTAAATCCGGGAGATTCTGTTATGGACATAAGACAGTTCCTTCTTGATGCATCGGAAACATGTTACTTCACATGCTATGACTTACTGCTGCATACAAAGAATGGTTCAACTCATCATCTGGAAGATTACAATGAAATTTCTCAAGTAGCTGACATCACCACTGGAGGGTGCACCTTGGAGATGGTTGCCGGTATGCAAGAAAAACATTTTAATGTTTTCTGAATTTAAGATGTATTTGCAGACTATCATGTTATTATCACTGTTGCAGCTACATATGATGATAGATCTATCAGAGCACATGTTAATCGCACAAGAGATTTACTATCCCTTTCTACACTTCATGCCTCGCTCTCAACATCACTTGCTTTGCAGTATGAGAGACTACAAAATAAAACTGCAAATGTAGGAGGTATGCAAATTCGACCTTAAATCACATTTCAAACCTTTTTTTTTTTTTTTTTCAACACTGATTATGGAGATGATTTTGATGAACTTGTCTTTGGATGTAATTGTTATCTAGATGTTGCAAAAAGTGAGGTATCAGAACTTGATGGGCTGGGTTTTATGGAGGATGTTGCTGGTTCATCGGGTAAATTGCTATTGTCATCTTCAAAAGAGATCAAATGTGTGGAGTGCATTGTTTTTTCATCTTTTAATCCTCCACCAAGTTATCGAAGGTAAACTATGGTTTATCTTCTCTACGTTACTCATATCAACTTACTTAAAAGACAACTTGAAATATGTATCAGCAGCCTAAGAACAGCATTTTGTTGGGAGCAGGCTTGTGGGAGATTTGGTTTATTTGGACGTAATAACATTGGAAGGTAACAAATACTGTATTACGGGAACCACAAAGACATTTTATGTCAATTCAAGTACCGGGAACATACTTGATCCTAGGCCAAGTAGAACCAATTCTGAAGCAACAACACTTGTTGGACTTCTGCAAAAAATCAGCTCCAAGTTCAAAAAAGGTGGCTGAACATGGTTAAAACATATGCACGTTGTTTTAATGCTTGATATGCTTATGCCACTGTCCAATAATATTTTCCTTTTCCATTTACATTTTGAAGCTTTTCATGAAATTATGGAGCAGAAGGCCTCTGCACATCCTTTTGAAAATGTTCAATCCCTTCTGCCGCCAAATTCATGGCTGGGATCATATCCTGTTCCTGGTAACTTAATTCTTGTTTTAAGTTATTTGATATTTCTCTGGTTGGATCATCACTTTTCCCCCTATGGTCAGATTCTTGATATGTTTTTTTTACCAACTCGGGGCCTATTACCTTCTAAACAAAGCTACTTCTTTTGTTACCTTGAACTTCTATAATAGTTTTTATATTTTTTTCTCATGATAGATATTGTTAGAAATGGTGCTTTATATGGTGGTGTTACTTGCTTATTGAAAATTTGAAATCAACTACATTAATGCTGGATTAATATGGTCTATGAGAGATATTAAAAAAGTTTAAATTACCAGAGTTGTTATGTGGTGTTTCAGCCCATGCTGTAGTTCTCTCACTGAAACCCTGGGGAAGACGGATCTATTGTAGAATTTGAGTTGGCTTATATGGGTTTGATGTTATATATTAATTCACTTTAATGACATTATTTTGGTTCCTATTGTTTTCAAGATCACCAACGTGATGCAGCAAGAACTGAGGAGGCATTGACTATTTCATATGGTAGTGAGTTGATTGGCATGCAAAGAGATTGGAATGAGGAATTGCAATCTTGTCGGGAATTTCCCCACACAAATCCTCAGGAGAGGTATTTTTGATCTCTAGTTGAGTCAAATCTTTATGAACTGGTCTCCTTACATGTTTTGTCTCTGCCGTTCTGCTTTCTGCTTCCTGTAGCTCATTGAGATGATTTTATTGCAGGATTTTGCGAGCTAGGGCTCTCTACAAAGTGACTTCTGACTTTGTTGACGCAGCAATTAGTGGGGCTGTTGGGGTCATCAGCAGATGTGTACCTCCTATTAATCCAACGGATCCAGAGTGCTTTCACATGTCAGTATGCCATAAAATAATTCTACTGATTTACTCAATTATTTTATTTTTATTTGTGGATTTGTTTAGGATGCTTTGCAAACAAAGTAAAATATTTCACGTATCCCTTTCCAATGTCAGTTGTTATTAATAGTGAACACTTATTTTTTAATTCCCATGTTAACCCAAATCCTTTCATCACTCGACAAAGGTTTTTGTTCTTAGATCTGTGACATACTATTACTAAGCAATGATTTTTCAATATATTGGCATGCTTCATTATGTAGTTTGGGATGACCTCGTACACATATCCTATTGTATTTTTTATTACTTTATTATTATTATTGTTATTTATCTTGTCATATTGTTCCTTTATGAGTTATTATTTGTCCCTATTGTTGGATTAACAGCTTTTTATATTTTATTTTTGATTTTAGGTATGTTCACAATAACATTTTCTTCAGCTTTGCTGTGGATGCTGACCTTGAACAAGTATCCAGAAAGCAAGCATCAGATAGTAATTCAAACATTCAGAGCAGAAATGCTACACTTAGTTTATCTGATAAACTATCTAATGATATACCACACGGAGATGGTGCAGTTCCAAACGGGGAGAATTTTTGTGGATTGAATGTGGTAGACGGTGATGGTTTAATAGAATCATCTCCGGGCTCCTCTGAGACACCATTGGCTGAGAATGAGCAGGCTACATATGCCTCTGCAAATAATGATTTGAAAGGTACCAAAGCCTACCAGGAAGCTGATGTCCCTGGATTATATAATCTTGCTATGGCCATAATAGATTACAGGGGTCATAGAGTTGTAGCTCAGGTAATTATCAAGGTCCTGCCATTTTATGGGAAATTGATGTTGGAATATTTGGTTTTCCTCTCCACTAATGCTTAGTTGCTTAGTTTTATCTGTTAATTTTAATCTGCTACATCTTTTTTAGACTGTCTTACCTGGCATTCTTCAAGGGGACAAATCAGACTCTCTCTTGTATGGTTCTGTTGACAATGGCAAGAAAATATGCTGGAATGAGGATTTTCACTCTAAGGTAAGAAAATAAGAATGAATGAAACTAAAGCCTGTCAGGTTGCTCTAATTCAATAGTCGTGTGTATTTGTGCAATTTTCTCTCAACATTCACTGGCTATTTCATCTATGGTGTCACAGTCATACATTTCAAGCTTAAGGTTTTCACAAAATCTCAAATCTGGTGTTTGTAACTGGATTCTTAGTTTCTTTAAATCAAATTGATTTTCTTCTCCTTGGGCACTAACTCCTATGTTTCTTTAGGTGTTAGAGGCTGCCAAGCTTCTTCATTTGAAGGAACACACTGTCGTTGATGGATCTGGCAATGTTTTTAAGTTGGCTGCACCAGTGGAATGCAAGGGCATTGTTGGTAGTGATGACAGGTGATTGAGCTTTTATCTTATGTAGCAAGGTTTATGGTTGGAGTTAGAAGATAGTATAACTGGAATGTCTAATTAACTGATAGTATTTTGCTATTCTCATCTTACTATTTTCTTGTTTATGTTATCTAACTTTGTTTTTCAATCAGGCATTATCTTCTGGATTTAATGAGAGTGACTCCTCGTGATGCAAATTATACTGGACCTGGATCCCGGTTTTGTATTTTGAGACCAGAACTAATTACTGCATTTTTCCAGGTATGTGATTGCAATGAAACCATTCTTAAAATTTGCTCTTCATGTTTCATTTTTAATGTTGTTTTTTTTTTTTATTAATTGGAGAAGGCCCAAGCTGCTGAAAGGACAAATGGTAGGCCTAAATCTGAAGGAGAGGTTAAGCTACCTGCTGATTCTTCCAAAGCTGCTAGTGCTGAAGAGCCAACTAGGACTGAGGGCAATATAGCTGCAAATTCATATGTTCATCAGGTAAGGCTCTCCTGATAGGAGGTAGAATGTCTGTGTTTTAAATTTTAAATCCTCTTGAGAGAGATATGGTTCACATTTTAAGTGACGTGTTGGTGCATGATATAATTGATACTTAATTTCACTTGGATTAAGTTTATGAATATAAATGTCTACAACTTATATTTTCACCGCATCTGTGTCAGTTCCTTTGTCTAAAATTTTAGAGAGAATAGTATCTTGTCTTTGAAGGCTGTAACTTGTAAAATGTGTGTATCTTCTTTCATGCACCTCATGGTTTTTCTGTGTGGTTGATAGAATGTCAAAGATGAAGGAAAAAACAATGTGGATCCAGTAGAATCTGGGTCTTCACCTGCTGAAATCCCTGAATCATATGAGGGAGTACTTTTTAACCCAAATGTTTATACTGAATTCAAACTGGCTGGGTGTCAAGAGGTGGGTTTTCTATTGCTTCCACTTGCCTTTCTTGTCAACACTAGTGAAGTTATTATCTTAGATCTTTTCCTTCCTATATATTCATTAGGAGATTGCAGCTGATGAGGAAAATGTGAGGAAGGCCAGTACATATCTTGTAAATGTTGTTCTTCCAAAATTTATACAAGATCTTTGCACGCTAGAAGTTTCCCCAATGGATGGCCAGACATTGACTGAAGCGCTTCATGCTCATGGAATTAATGTTCGGTACATTGGAAAAGTAAGCTCTGTGTGTTCCTGTTGTTGCTTTAATACATATCCTTTTCAGATTTTTGCTTATAAGTTCATTAAAAGTGATTAAAAATTGTTGAATTGCACATTAAATTCAAACTCATTCTTTTTCCATTGTTTTGTTGGTCAGTTATACCTTCTGATGCACATAATTTTACCAGGTTGCTAATGGAACCAAGCATCTACCTCATCTATGGGATCTTTGTTTTAATGAGATTGTAGTCCGATCTGCAAAGCACATCCTTAAGGTGATCAACATTTATTTCACCACTTGGAAATGTCTCTTTAAAAATAAAAATCTATATTTATTGATATTCTTGAGCAGTTTTTCTGTACTTCTCTTTTAAATTTGAAAAGAACTTCAATTCTAGGCTGGTGACAAAAGAAGCAAAAAGGTTCCTGATTTCATGTAATTTGGTTCCTGTTTTCTGGTTAAAACTTTTCTGCCTTAATTTTGCTTCTATAACGGTAGTTAACTTTCTTGCATTTGTCTGTGGTAATGCAGGATGTCTTGAGAGATACAGAGGATCATGATCTTGGACCCACAATCTCACATTTTTTGAACTGTTACTTTGGAAATTGCCAAGCTGTTGGTGTGAAAACTACTACCATGCAGTCCAAAACCACCAAGAAAGTATGCCTAATTAGATGAAAACACATGCTGTTTTTGGTATTTCCCATGTGAAAGAATAACTGTCCTAGACTCTAGGTGTTTGTAATCCTGGGTTTTTTTTTTCTTTTTTTCTTTTTTTGGGTAGATTTATCTACTTTTTCATTGCATTGATGCTAACAAAATATAATGAAGTCTGCAACAAGCTACCTGACATGTTTTAATGTTAAAATGTTTGCAGGACCAAACTGTTCATCTATCTTCTGGCAGAACCTCTAAGGGACATGCCAAGTGGAAGGGCAGAGCATCTGCAAGAAAGAATACTTCCTCATATATGAATATTAACTCAGAAACTTTATGGTCTGACATTCAGGAATTTGCAAAAGTCAAATATCAGGTATCAGATTTTTATTTCTATTTATTTGTGTTGATGCTCTTAATAGACACCAGATGTAAACTGGAAGTTGAGTGATTTGTTTAATTATATTTTTCTAGAGTTTAAATGATTGTTTACCCATAACAATGCTTGATTGAAATTTTTCATCAATTTAAGATCCTTCAAGTTGATTTGTCTTAAAAGATGATGATAATGATGAATCACACCAGTATATTGCTACAGAAATATGCCAAGTATATAATTTAGTTTCAATATAATTTTTAACCTAATTTTTCTTCTTTTCTTTTCTTTTCTTCCTCTTCTTTCCCTTTTTTTTATTTTTTATTTTTATTTTTTATTATTATTATTTTTTTGGTAGTTTGAGTTGCCAGAAGATGCAAAATCACGAGTGAAGAAAGTATCTGTCGTGCGCAACCTTTGCCAAAAGGTAACTGAGTGTTCGACTTACTGTCTCTGATATGCCATAAAGCATCCCAATTATCCACAGCATGCTTAGAATTGTTTCTCTTCACAGGTAGGCATAACAATTGCTGCACGCAAGTATGATCTTAATGCTGCAACACCTTTCCAAGCGTCAGATGTCTTGAATCTCCAACCTGTGGTGAAGCATTCAGTTCCCGTATGTTCAGAAGCTAAAGATCTTGTGGAGATGGGGAAGGTTCAATTGGCCGAAGTAAGCACCATTTTGTATTTTTTTCTTGATCAGTGGACTCTGAATGCACATGTTAGCCAGCTTCAGATTTAAAATATAGCATATTTAGCATCTGATTCTCTATGGTATTTGTGGTATTTAATAGAATATTTTGCAGATTCCTGTGTATAGTATATCTAATACTTTTGCAATTTGAATGAACCCCTGAATTGTTAAATCTTTTGCTTCAGGGTATGCTTAGTGAAGCTTACACATTATTCTCCGATGCATTTTCAATACTTCAACAGGTAAGTTATTTTATTGTCTCAGTTTCATTCTGTTGGAAATTCTTGGGTGTATATTTTTCATAATGCTTGATGGATTTCAGGTGACAGGTCCAATGCACCGAGAGGTTGCAAATTGCTGCCGGTAGTTATCAAAACTATGATCCTTTTGAGATTTTTGTTTTCCTCTTTCTTAGTGAACTGTAAGAGTATGCATACTAACAACCAATGGATAATGATTCAAGTTACACCTGATCTCATTGGTTGTATAACTTTTTTCTTGCTCAGCTTATCGGATGTAATTGTAGCAGTGTTTATTGTTGTATTTGTGCTCTCTGGTTAATATTTACTACTCTCTCGTTTTGATCTTCAATTTCAAACTTGTCTTGACAGTTTTCACTTCAAAAATTTTCAGATACCTAGCCATGGTTTTGTATCATGCAGGAGACATGGCTGGGGCCATAATGCAACAGCACAAGGAACTAATAATAAATGAACGTTGCTTAGGCTTGGACCACCCTGATACTGCTCACAGGCATGGATTTTTTGCTCTATACTCTTTCATCTCTAATAATCTCATTTTAGCACACAAGCCACAGTAAACTACTGTGAGCCTCATCATAGGTCGTCTATTTCTTCTATTGGTCTTTTAAAATCTGTGTCACATTTGGATTTCTATCAAGTGTCAGAGCTCCTTTGAGGAATGCCAAAAAGTCTGTCTCATGAGTTTCATTGAAATTTTACTGCTGCAGTTATGGCAATATGGCTCTTTTCTACCATGGTCTAAACCAAACAGACCTGGCACTACGGCACATGTCTAGGGCATTGCTCTTACTTAGTCTGTCATCTGGACCAGACCATCCTGATGTGGCTGCAACTTTCATAAATGTTGCAATGATGTACCAAGACATTGGAAAGATGAACACAGCACTCCGCTATCTACAAGAGGCCTTAAAAAAAAATGAGAGGCTCCTAGGTGAGGAACATATTCAAACTGCTGTATGCTACCATGCACTTGCTATAGCATTCAATTGTATGGGTGCTTTCAAGCTTTCTTACCAGGTGAGTATCTTTTCCAGAGAATTATGTCCCATATTAAGATTCCTTTGCACGTGACTGACTGGCTGTGTTATTTTATGCCAACAGCATGAGAAGAAAACATATGACATACTTGTAAGACAGCTTGGAGAGGAGGATTCAAGAACACTAGACTCACAAAATTGGTTGAAGACGTTTAAGATGCGTGAACTTCAGGTAAATAAATGGTGTTGCCATTAAATTATTATATGCCAATTCTTGTTGTGGTACATCCACTCTTTGAACACACTGTTTATTCCTAAATCTTTGGATGTGTTATTGACAGATGAATGCTCAAAAGCAGAAAGGGCAAGCTTTGAATGCTACTTCTGCGCAAAAGGCTATGGATATCTTGAAGGTATTTTTGCTCAGCCTGTATGTCTTTTTGCTGAATGATAGAGCCTAAATCTCCAGAGTTAAATTCTGACATTGAATCCCCATGCGAGTTCACGAGGCTTGGATTGTGGAGATCTGTAATTTGATTTCATTTATTAATAATAATAATATGCAAGGAGACCTTTATTTGAAAATTTTAGATCTGGGCATAATTTAAATATAAACTGAATTGCTTTGATAAGAAAATTGCTATAGTTAATAGCTAGGTTTGGGTATTCTCATTTCTCTATTTGAGGATTAGGTTCTTCAATCACAATTTCTCACAATTGATGATTTTGCATGGCAGGCCCATCCTGACTTGATGCATGCGTTCCAATCTGCTGCTGCAGCTGGGGGATCTGGGAGTTCCAGTGGTTCTGTCAACATGCCACTTAATGCAGCAGTGAGGGGCGAGTCTCTTCCACGAGGTCGAGGATTTGATGAAAGAGCAGCTCGCGCAGCAGCTGAAGTTAGGAAAAAAGCTGCTGCCAGGGGTCTGTTGATTCGTCCACATGGTGTTCCAGTCCAAGCTTTGCCACCATTAACTCAGCTTCTTAACATAATCAATTCAGGAGTGACCCCAGATGCGATTAATAGTGAGGAAGCTGGAGAGAAGAAGAAGGAAGCAAATGGCCATCCTATAGATGGTCCAGTTGATGCCAAGAAAGAGCAGCCAACAACTACGCAAGGAGGTGAAGCACCAGTTGGATTGGGAACAGGCCTTACCTCATTGGATGCTAAAAAACAGAAAATAAAACAGAAGCCTGCAGCTTGAAATTTTGGAAGGCTAATCGTTAATGGTCGACTCTTACCATTTGGTGGTGGGCGTCAATTGTTCTGGTGCAAGTTAGGGGGGGGAAGATGTGCCAAGAACTACAATTTTTTCAATAAAGTCAGTAGCCATAGCTATCATCTGATGCAAACAGGCAAAAAATAATTTGTTTTGGTCGTTCGTTTCAAGGATCAGCTGAAGACTTGAGTAGTTTTTTTTTTTATGATATATAAGTTGACTGTAAAGGGATAAGGAGTAGCTTCCTGACCACAGCCTTTTTATGTTTGACATAGGGTTCTGCAGGCATAAAGCAGCTGTTTTGTGTAGTCCAGGGTAGTTTTTGTAGATTTTTAGCATAAGTACTGACTCGTGGATTCAATTTTTAAAATAGATATACATACATACATATATATACATATATATATATATATATATATAGAAGAAAAAAAAATCAATTCAAATTCTACAGCTTAATGGGAAAAAATCTTTGTTTTGGAGTTTCAACTTTTAGTCGATAGCAGCACACAGGCTGAGGCTGGTATGACAGCAATCCATTAACAATGGACGTTAAATCTTGTTAAGCGAAGGTATAGAATGGGTTTGGTTATGGTAACACAAATTATAATAAAGTATGTTTGGTTTGATTTATATTCGCATAGTGTCCATCTCAATACAATGTCATGGATATCATTTATGAATTTTCATAAAAAAATAAATAATAAATTTATATATACCCTTACATAGAGATGGCACATAGTGTGTCTGTATTAATGCAATAAATACAGAGCTCCTAATAGTACTACAAAACTGCCAGCAAAAACGGATGAGTTATTACCAAAATCAGTTTCCTCTCTTTCTATTCTCCTGTCTTAATAACCAAATGCCAAAGTGCACCTCCCCATCAGACTGTTCTTTCACCCAGATGCTCCAGCAGCAGCACGCTTATCACATTCACCTTGTTCTTCTTTAGAAAATTCTTCAATTAATTCACGTTGTCTGGGAGTCAGGTTCCTGTAAATAAGAATATTCAACCATGAGCAAATTGGTTTTCACCCTTCTGGGAATCATGCTCCACATTGCAACTATCCCAGCAGAATTAGAAACTGCATTTGAAGGAAGCTAATGTTGACGATAAATACTTACGCTGGAATGCTGACGTTGAAGTGCACGTATTGATCGCCAAATGAGTATGAATTCCTTGATTTAATCCCTGTCGGGAAACACACAAGATTTTTTGTGGGAAAGAGATACACAGTCTCTAGAGAAAATAAATTAATATAACCATTCCGAACAAACATACATATATATGATCAAGGAGAGAGACAGTGAAAAAAAGAGAGAAAAAAAAAAAAGACAGGATTAGTTTCCCACCTTTACCCTTCAGAACTACCTTCTGACCAGGTTGGGTGCCAGGGCGGACCTGTAAATCCATTACATTAATAATCATATTAGGACAATAAAAAGATCACTTGCTAACAATTTTCTTAGTTTCACAAAATTTCAAACAAACCTTCAACACAACATCACCAGTAAGGGTTGGGACCTGGATGGTTCCTCCCAGGATTGCCTGAAGAAGATCAAACCCAATTAACTCCAGTAAACAAGATAAATGGATTACTCTTTCTCTACTAGGTGATAACTATGAAAGGCACAATTAAGGCAACAACAAGATCAACACCCTTAGATGATTAGAATTATTTCATCATTTAACAATTAGCCAAATATATCAACCAATGAGAAGACCTTAACCATTCAAGAAAGCTACAGCTGATTGGGACTCCATGCATCTAGCATTTTTCTTCTTTGATTTTAACCACATCAATGTACAATTTACCTGAGTTATACTCAAAATGGCATCCACATGAATGTTGGAACCTTCCCTACGGAAAACAGGGTCTTGTCGTACCTGCAAACACAAGTGAAGACCTTAAGATCTATACAAAACACAGCACAAAAGTTATCAATCGTGGCCCATCGTTGGGATCATGAACATGCAACTTTGCTGATGGTATTCTCTAAAGTTTGATAATCAGATAAGAGTACAAAGAAAATTCTATGTTCTTTTCTTTTGTTTCTTAAGCACAAAAATCTCAGATAACAAGGCATGCTTTGACATCCATTTGTCTTAGGTGACAACAGGGCATAAACAACTTACCTTGATGGTAACATAAAGATCCCCAGGTTGATTTCCATCAGGATCATCTCCACCACTTCCATACACCTTCAGAGTTTCATTATCATCCACTCCTATAGATGGCAGTCAATTGTAATGAAATGAATACTATGAAAACAAACTTCCTTTAAATAAGACGCAAAGACCATGGAGATAAATCAGTTTAGATCAACATCAACTGTCCATGGACTACATCCTATCAAGTATTAAGCTGACCTCTTCTTTTCTTTTTTTCACCAGTGTGTGTGTTATAATGTATGGAAGGCTAAATGCATTTCATGCTAGCAATCCAGTCCAAAATATGAACTTTAAACACATTACAAAAGAACAAGCATCCAGCAAATGTATTAGGTATATATTCAAACACTTTATTTCATTGCCATTTTGGTAAAATAAATTCCAAGGGACCACACTTGCCACTGTTGGGTAGAGCCTTAGCGGGTGCCTATGGACATGGCAGTTTGCAAGTGTTGTAGGACTAATTATCCAAAAAAGAAGAAAAGAGAGATCTAAGTTTTCCATTTGCCAAAAAAATAAAAAAAAAAAGAGACCTCAAAGTTTGAAAGGTACCTGGCATTACATCCAATTTGATTGATTTTGATCCTTTTACTACCCGAGCTCCATTGCATGACTTGCAGAACCTCTGGTGCCAGCAATAAAGTAAGGAAAAATTACATCACAATTCTAAGAAAAACAAACTTGATGAATTTAAAACCAATAGGACCATGACATAAATTCCACATGACAGAAGTGTATTTCAATAAATAACACATTAACAATAAAAAAAAAAAACTAGCTGTGTGGAAGGCAGTTATCCATTCTTTTATTTTTTTCTTTTTTAATATATTAAGTCCTAGTTCCTTCTCCCAGCCTAACACATGTACCATAACACATGAAAGGAGCATAGGACAACAGAATCAGATGAAGCATGAGTGTACATACTGATATAAACTGGCCAGTTCCACGGCACTGAGGACAGGTAACCTGAATACTAAAAATACCTTTGCTTGTGGAGGCCTGAGATAAGAGCAAAAAGGCATAAGTTAATGAAGGGGCCATATCATGTCAAATGGATGCTCAAGCAATTGCAACTTCAGAAGAAAACAAAAAAATGCATGTATGTCTCTGTGTGCTATTCCAGTCAACTAACCATGCCTGTGCCTCCACAACGCCGACATTTTTCAGGTTTAACTCCTGGAGGGACACCTTCTCCACCTAGAAGAATGCAGAAACAGTAGAGATTAAACTGCAATTGTACTTCTACAACAAAGTTAATATCTACTTAAGAAATCTCAAGCAATTCAAAGAAAAAGAAGTGGAAAGAATTTTACATATAAAGGCAATTAAAAGGAAATCCATTTGGTTAGTGGAGAGAGTAGGCATACCACAAGCTTGACATAGCACTGGGGCTTGAAATGACACAGTTTTAGTGCATCCTTGAACAGCTTCCATGAATGATATTTCAATGGCAGCCTTCGCATGGTAATCCAAATAACATGTGAGGAATAAACTTAAGATTAAGGGAAAAAAAAAAAAAAAGGAAAAAGAAAGAAGAGGAAAGGATAACGTGAAGACCTTGATGTCTTGGCCACCAATCCTATCAGATCTGAATATATCGAATATCTGGTCATCATGGCAGTGAAACATTGGAAAAATGAAAATAGAACATTAGATTTCAAATTAATTTCTAGAAACAAGAGACATAGGAAAGGATATGGCAGAATCTAAAAAGATGCAAAGTAGACTGTAATTGTATACAAGTAACTCTAAACCATGACATTCATTGCATGCAACAATGATGGTGTGGTATCTAAGTATTGAGACTCAACCAGATTTGAGATAGCATGTGAAAAACAATATGGAGAAAAGTTTAAGATAAATAGGAATAAGGAAACAGGGAATCATTACATCATGCATTTTGAAGATATCCTCAAATGGACTAAATCCACCCGGATTAAAGCCTGAATTATCCTGTTGTTGTTCAAATGCCTCGTGGCCAACCTATAAATTTTGCAAATAAACAAAAATCAGCAGGGATGTAATCAAAATCAGGTAATCTAAATCAACAGAGCACTATGCACATGAATCATCAGAGCAGTAAAGTTGTGAAAGCATTTGCAACTCTAGAAATAGAAAATAAAATAAGAAATTCAATATGACACCTGATCATACTCTGCACGCTTGTTCTCGTCCCTCAAAACCTACAACATAAGACAATAAAGATTTCTTCACTTCAGTATACAAGGGAATTATGGAAATGGGTATAATCCCAAAGTTGGGAACTTACTTCATATGCCTTTTGCATGTCTTGAAATTTTTTCCCAGCTTCAGGATCATCTTTATTCACATCTGGATGCCACTTCTTTGCAAGCTGCCCAATTACATGAAAAGTTATGCCATGAAACAGGGATTATAAAGCCACATAAACAGACAGACAAAGATATTAAAGTTACACTGACTGACATGAGAAAATTAAAAAAGAGCACCATATCATAAGCATAGAGATGAGAAGGAAACTCACCCCAAGATAAGCTTTCTTGATTTCAGATGCAGTGGCATTCTTGTTCACACCAAGCATATCATAATAATCCCTAGCAGACATGTGAGCTGAAACCAGTAGGGGAAGAAAAGAAACGCAAAGTAAGTTGTTCTATCTTCCTAGTTAAGGATAAGATAATGAGAAAGGAAATTTCTAAAAGTAACCCCAGAAAAAAAAAATGAAGAAGAAGAAGAAAAACGAAAAGGGGAACAAGTTCAATACCAGTGCCATGAATTGACCGTGCTGCACCAACATTAGCATTTAAAATCCCAAATAGCCATAAATTTCTGCGGTGAACTGTACTTCACGTAGTATGGGATGGAATAAAGATAATCAATTTGTGGAAATGAAGTAGAATTTGAAAAAGCAAAGACAACTGAGTAGTAGTGGAAAAACAAAGATAAAGAGACCATTTTTATTTGTGGTCCCATTGAATATTGTTAAGCTGCAATTTACCATTGTGAGAAGAAGAAGTTGCGGTAATCGTAACAGGACTGCAAAGCCCCGCATGGAACCTCCTACAACCCCCTCCAATCACAGCTTTATAAATCTACAACCAAAGTTCAAAATTCAATAAGCATATTTACAGACACAAGGGCCAAATTAAAAAGAAGAAAAATTGGAGAGAAGGGTGTACAGAATTGGCTTTGCCAAGACTGGAAGATGAGGAAGAAAGAGAAGAACAACGGCGAATCAAGCATTGAAAAAGCTTAACCCCATTAGACCCAACCATTTGTTTTTTTCTTTTCTTAGGATTGTGTTTTGGGTTTTGAAGAGGTTGATAAACCCTGGCAAAACCCTAGAATTTAAATCAACTAGAACAGGGCAACGCAGGGCAAGGCGAGGCAAGGCAAGTAGAAACTTCTGGTGGCTGGCTGAGAATAGGCAGTATTTATGTTTTATATTTTATAAATGAGAATTGAAGAAACATAAACCCTATCTCATGTCCTGTCACCCTAACCAAACCCAACTAATGGGAGTTTCTGTCTCACGTCTGAATTTTTTTTTGTTTGGCTCAATTTTGAAATCAACCCTTATACTTTGGACAAGCTTCAATCCAGCCCACTCATATTTTGTTAAATTCAGTTAAATCCTCTTGCTTGTATAGTGAAGGTTCAATCTCTATATTTACTCAGTATCATGTAACAAATGCCAAGTGCATTCCTCCCGTCTTTGGTTTTTGTTTTCTTTTTCTTTTTCTTTTTCTTTTTTTTTTTGGGTGTGGGGTGGGGGTGTTTTGCAATGGTTTAATACCCAATTTGGTCCCTAAACTTTCATTTCTAAACTTAGTTTGTCCTTTAACTTCAAAAATGACCCAAATCATCCTTAAACTTTATTTTTCAATAACCCAAATGGTCTTTCCGTCATGGAACTGCATACTTGGCACATTAAATCTCCACCAATTACCTCTTTTAATTTTTACAAACTTACGTGGAAAAACCACCACATCAAATTGATGACACGACACCAATTTCAATTCACATCTGATTCTTGCCTTGTCAGCCTTCTAAATAAAATAAAACAATTGCCTTCTCTTTATTGATGCAGGCTCCCTTTTGAGATTCTACTTCACTTCACTCTCTCTTTCCTTCTCCCCTTTAACCCCTAAATCCTTTCTTCTTCAAAACCCCTAAATCCTTTGGTAAGAGTCGATAATCATTCTGGCATTTGCTTCCATGTGTCCAACTGCTTAGTTTCCAAAAACCAAATGATTCCAAAAAACGAGAAAGCAATTGGCAATGCTTGCAGATCAAACTAGATCAAACTTTGAGTCCTTCTTCTTCGACCCCTAAATCCTCTGCAACTCTTGATTCCTTCTTCTTCTTCGAACCTTAAATCCTCTACACCTTGTGATTCCTTCTTCTTCCCTTGAACCCTAAATCCTCTACTATTTGTCTTTTGGATTTTGGGTTTATGAGAATCATAAAATGGAAGCTAGTTCTACATGGAGTTTGGGTTCGGGTTCAGGTTCATTTGAGAGTGGAAGCATGGCAAAGTCTATAGAGTTCAAAAGTGAAGAAGGTAATCATATAATTTCTTTGTCTCTTTGGTCAGTGGTTTAGGTTTTTCTCAATTGGTTATTTAGTTTACAAGACTTCTATGTAGGATCCTTGCAATTACTTCCATTTCCTGGTTGGTGAGGAAGGGATCGAGGGTAGAGCAATGGAGTTGCTGCTACTTTTCAAAGATAAAGAATGCAAAGTCGTCAAAGAGAAAGAGAAAATAATGCAAGAAAAATATGAGCTTGTGTTGGAAAATGAAAGATTGATGGAGGAAAATGGGAAATTGTTGCGAGAAAATGTGCAATTGAAGGAACATAGTGGATTAATGGATAGAAAGGTAAGAGCTTTAGACAAGAAAGTGAAGAAGGTGGAGAAGAGATACTCAAAAGTTGTGATGATCAATGAAGTGATTTGTTTGGTTTTTTTAATTTTCATTGGTTTGATTTCTGGTGTATTGCTACTTAGAATCACTAGATATTAGGCATGTGTGTCTTGGTTGTGGTTTTTGTAATTCAATGTTAGAGATGGTTTTGTAATTCAATGTAAGAGATGGTTTTTGCTAGAATATATGTATTTTTGTTATTTTATCTATCAAAATTCCTTCATGTTGTTGGTTAGCCTGTCATTGTCTTGCAATGGTATATTATATCCATTACGGTAGCATTAGAAACAACTGGATGAAAAGTTGGATGAAATTATTTCACTAGCATATATTATATCCATTACATATTCTCAAAAACAAAACCATGTTAGCCAACAACAAAACCATGTTAACTAAGTCAAAAACAAACAAGAAAATACAGAATTTGGTTCATCAACACGGGACCTCAAAGGAAATTCAGCCAGAACTTAAAAGAAGACTTATGTTACTAGATTTGATCCATAACCTAAAAAACCTCCAAGTGAAGCTTCTTCACCATTTTCTTGTTGCATCTGTTTTGCTTGTACTTGCAACTGCCTTACAGTAAATAAATTGGTAACCAATCCCAACTCTAGTGCTTGGTTTCTTTTACTTGTTTGTTGCACACCTAAACCAATTGTTGAACTGCTCTCTCCCTAAATCAATATTCACATTTGTAAAATGGTTTTGCTCCAAAGAAAAACAACAAAAATGGAGAGCAACTATGTGAATACTATTTGTGAACAATATCTAGTACAACATGAAAAAAAAAAAAAAACCAAAACAGTAGCAACCATGTGAACAGTATCTGTGCTTTTCTTAAACTTGTGCTACATTGTCTAAAAGCATTGATCAAGAACAACTAAGCATAAAGACAAACTAGAATTAAAATGCAACAAAAAAAACTTAAAATAACTAAACTAATTCAATTTCATGAAATCTTAAAATCTACATTTCTTCAAAAATACCAGTAGAATATTGCAAATAACACTTCATAAAGTAAACATAAAACCAGTAGTAGTATATTGTCTAAAAGCATTAACCAAGAACAACTAAGCATAAAGACAAACTAGAATTAAAATGCAACAAAAAAAACCTGGAATAACTAAACTAATTCAGTTTCATGAAATCTTGAAATCTACATTTCTTCAAAAATACTAGTAGAATATTGCAAATAACACTTTATAAAGTAAACATAAAACCAGTAGTAGTACATTGTCTAAAAGCATTGACCAAGAACAACTAAGCATAAAGACAAACTAGAATTAAAATGCAACAAAAAAACTTGGAATAACTAAACTAATTCAATTTCATGAAATCTTAAAATCTACATTTCTTCAAAAATACCAATAGAATATTGCAAATAACACTTCATAAAGTAAACATAAAACCAGTAGCAATAACTTATACTTCACAATCTACAACCTTCAAAGCTAGCATTAAGCTAATAGAAATGACAGTATACTCAATAGAACAATGGCAAAACTATACTAACAGAAAATGATAATTGCAAAGCTTTTAGGGTTTTGTTCTTGCAAAGCTGAGAAGTTTCCTCTTCTTTTTTTGATGTCCACTGCTTCCCATTGGTTTATTCATAAAGTGAGAGAGGCAAGAATGTGAGGTGGAATGAAATTGGTGCCATGTCATCAATTGGGTGTGACGTTTTTTCCACATAAGCTTGCTAAAATTAAAAAAGGTAATTGGTGGAGACTTGACGTGCAAGGTATACAGTTCCGTGACAGAAGGACCATTTGGGTTACTGAAAAATATAGTTTAAGGATGATTTAGGTCCTTTTTGAAGTTAAAGGATGAACTAAATTCAGAAATGAAAGTTTAGGGACCAAATTGGGTATTAAATTTTCTGAAATCAACCCTGCACTTTCCAGGAGAAGGGTTCAACCATTTCCTAGACGTATGCAATTTGCAGTAGATTCGCAAATAGAGAAACAGTGAAACCAATTTCTGACATGATGTACATTCACCACCTTTTATTGGCCATTACCGCCCAGAATGCATTACTTGCATCCATTTTCATTCCCAGATAACCAAGTAGATCATTGCGGTGAGGGTTGGCCTAGCAGAACTAATTCCGAGAAAATAAGCAAAGCTAATTTCTTCAGAATCATGTTACTTGTCTTGGCAGCGACACCACAGCTCCCAAAGCATGGTAACCATCTGTGCCCAGCAACTTCTTCAAAAGACCGCCAGCTCAAACAGGTAATTTGCCCAAATGCTAGCTTACAGTCATGTTGGAAGATTTATCATTTTCATGTAGTTCTAGTAACTACAGAATACTACAATAAACTCCATTGCCTATTTTCAAAAAAAA